GAATGTATATGTGTAATATAATGGCGAGGTGGTGATTGCGGAATTTATGTACATATACGTATAGATGTATATATAACAGAGCGGTGCAGAGCAGCAGCAGCAGCAGCACTAGCCAACCAGCCACTGGCTGCCATTACCCATTTGCTAGTACATAATGCCAGGTGCTACCTCGTACACATTTCTCTTCAATGAATTTTTTCAAATAAATGTATGGGTGATTCCACAGGAATAGTGATATCTATGGCAGTACGATCGTAGCACATTGGTAGAATCTTGTAGAAAGATATTGATGTAATCCGAGTGGACTAATTTTCAGGTACCTATGACAATCAGGATGGCATCTGGAGCACATGTTCAGAGAGTCATGGTACGTTTTGAGATATTTCTTGAGAACGGTAGCAGAAAATTATCAAATTTGAATGAAATAAATAAGAAACATCGCGGCAGAACGTTTCGTATGTCAATTCCGAGTATCAGGTGTGATATGGTGGAGCAATTGATAAATAAATAAATTATTTAAAACACGGTATTGGTATAAATACTCTTGAATATCGCAGCATCGACTGGTAAATCACATATTCAGAAAAGTTATTCATCTCTAAGAATGTTCAATGCTCCCTTGGTAGTAATAATCACTATTTTCGTGGAATTACTCATGTATTATGTGAATAATGATATCGGATTTTTTAAATAATCAGCAGAACTCGTGGAGGCCATAATGAGCGGTGGAAACATATCCTTGCCAATATTTTTTATATTAAAATAATTTATTTACTTTCATACAATTGATATACACGTTTAACACTTGAACGTCACATCAAAATTCATTGAATCTTTCCTCATCAAGCAAAAATACCAATAATACGCAATATTTAATAGACTCTGTTACACATTAGCATACATTTTTATGTAATCTGACGAATGTATTTCAGCTGCAGAATTATTCTCAATTGTCTGTACAGTATAATGTCGTTGAATGTTTAAGGAAATTCCTTACTTATTTTTTTTTTATGAAAAAAATGCAGACTCTTTTAGCCTCTACACTATTATGAGGTGCTGGGAAATACATAATTAAAAGTATGGCAACAAATATTACTCTGTAACTCTTCTGAAATTCATCTTCAATGTGTGAGAAAAGGAAAAATCAGCAGATAAGTACATTTTCCTTTTTTTTTTT